AGTAATACTGTTGCCATCTTCAGCTCCCTCATTTTAAGCATAGGGATACCACTCATCTCTGCTACAAAGGTTTTTGCTTCCATCTTCAAAGTTCTTCTCCAGCCTCCKGCACGTTCAAACTCTCCCTTCTCCATGACTACCAAAGAATGACATCAAAAACTTAACTAACAGAATATGTAAACATGATGGGGCATTTGGTCTAGTGGCATGATTCTTGCTTTGGGTGTGAGATGTCCTGAGTTCAATTCTTTTCCATTTCGAGAACTTCCAAGTGGTTGTGATATAGATACATCAAGAAATTTAAGTTTCAAAGCTTTACCAAATATAACGAGTGACATAAATAAAATAGTGAAACATTAGTAACCAAATGTTAACAAATGGACCTACTGCTTGAAAGAATCTTACATCAAATATATTCTCGTACTCCTCTAAAAGAATTGTAACAATAGCTTGAGCATTATTAGCGGCATTTGCTGCATAAAGAAGCTGAGCTGAGTTATCGTCATTGACATCAAAGTCATCCTCCAATTCACATTCACCAGCTAAAAGTGGGCAAAGTAGCAAGGGAGCCATGCAAGCAGCAACAGCTGATGGAGTCATCCGATTCTTAGATGCATGAGCAGCAATTGTTTGCATCATTTTAAGAATTCTATGAACAAAAAGAAAGATAAAGAAAAAATCAAATTAGAGCAATTCTGTGCATCATATTAGAGTGCAAGGCTAAACAAGGTTATAGGTACATTATTTTTTGATAATTATGTTATAGGTACATTATTGACAAACTACTTCTCTTTTATCCACAATTTGTTCAAGTTGAAAGTTTCAGAATTACAAAAAAATAGCCATTTAAGGCATTGAGCTTTTGATCTGGAAGGGAAAAAGTAGGGCAAAATACAGAGGCATAACTGATTTCATGTTTTAACTAAAGAAAAGCTATTTGAGATGGATGGACGTCATGTAACTACAGCGATCAAGGGAGATTTTCACTCCTCCCCCTTCTGAAAGTAAACCAAAATGAAGTTGTAATAAAATTTGTAACTGCACAAAAGGTTTAACAACTAAACCTGGCCATCCAATGAGAGAACTGACACCCTTGAAAAAGAAGGTTTAAGAAGATAGATATGCTTTAGGATGGACAAAGTGGTGATGTTGAGATGGGAATTCATTTGCATCTTAACTTTTCAATCAGTGTGGTGCACTGTCACCATTGTTCTAGTTTCCCTCCCTCATAGTAGAAGCAAGGAGGTGTATCCCTTTCAGCTGCTGCTATATTTGAACAAAACTTCACTGGTCATGTTGTTAATCAAAAAAGAAAAAATAAATATTTGTTGCAATATTTTAATCCTGCAAAGTTTAAAGCTTAATGAAACGTCTAATGTTTATGAAATTCTTGTTGTATGACATGTTATAATAGTTATTATATATTATGAAGTCTCCATAAGGACAAAAGAAGATGAACATTTTAGTCTCCAATGCAGAATCCAGTGTTGGTACCATCATGTATTGTGTCCATGCAAGTATACTAAGACCGTTCAAGTATTCAGCTATCATGTGCAAGTGTATGGTGTGGGGGTTGGAAAATGCCATATCAAGCTCCATGTGTATGTAATTTTTCTGTAGGATTAATCTGTAATTTAATGAACGCCAATTGGCCACTTTAGTAATCTTTATACCACAAACGTTGGGAGTCAACACAAGAATCCTAAATTGGTATAGGCTATTCAATGCCACAAGAATTCAAATCATGATTCATGAATCACTTGTAGCTTTTCATGCAATATGTTGCAGAACATTATAGATAAGAGATGTCCACGACAGAAAATTTGAGTTGAAATGGCAAACAATATCCATAGAGCATAAATTTTGTCTAACATAGAGCTTAGTGAAATCCAACCAAAGAAAAGAAAACAAATAAAGATAGACATGTTATTGAGAAGAAAACATAGAAGAAAGGAGGAGGGGCCGAAGTCAAACCTCTGTAATAATCGCCTATTTGGTTCTGGAAATGTCTCCAATATTGCAGAGCGCATGGCATTAACCCGAGCTTCTTTGCATTCAATTCCTTATGAAATGAATCACCATACAAAAACAAAATTTGTTAATTTAACAACAGTTGCAACAAAAGAGCATAGCTTTCAAAGCACAAGGCTAGACCACAAGGAGGTACCTTGTTGCCTAGTCACCTAGGCTATGGATTTTTTTAGCAACCAGCAACCATGAGTACTAGGGTAATTACCATGGTTCAATAGCAACCAGCAACCATCTTTAACTAGTAATTATGTATAAGCCTCATAAAATAAAGTATAAATTTCATATTAAAACATAGAAAATCAATATATTTTTCATGAAAAGAAAAGGAAGAAAGAATGGAAATTTCAGAAAATAGAGGGCTGAGCCCCTTAAATGGTGAATGAAAAAAAATGTATTCATTAGAGAAATTTTTCTCATGTTCTTTCTGTCTTGTTGGTTCAGGTTTTAAAGTCTGAGGGTTCAAGACAGCATACGCCAACGTGTGTTGATTGAACCCTAAAAACAAGAAAATAATAAATATAAACTAGTATTTTAACCCACATATTGACAATTTAATTTAATGATGTCTATTTTATTATTATGACCTAAAAAATTAAGAATCTAAAAGTATATATTAGTACCATATACAAACTAGCAAAGCGCATAAGCGAGGAAACCCTCCATGGGTGCCTTGTCACCTAGGCATCACCTTGATAACTATGCAAAAGAGCAAAGTTTACAAGACACCAAGGCAAAGCTAGGTGACCAGGGCTAGATACCTTGGTGCACATCTATGCGTAGCTTAAAATGTCCACAAATTTTCTTATACTTCTAGAACATATTCCCATTTCAATGGGTAGTGAAACAAAATTTTACTGGAATTGACATATTCTGCAATGAAAACTACCAGCACTATACGGAGTACAAGAGATAGTACTATAACATAAGTTGGTGACAATATTGTAAAAATGTAGAGTAGCAATGTATTGCCCACCTGACTTACATGATTACCACTTTGAGCTAGTTCAATATTTGTTGACAGTTGGCCCATGTAGGCCATTTATTTTCAGCATATTCTTTTTGTAGTTGATGGGCCTTAACCCATAGTGATTTTATGTTTTTATAAGTGTTCTTTAACATCCACCCCTCTAAGGGCATATTTGTCCCTGACATATTTTTTGACAAAAGTATAAATACTAGTTGAATGGGGCGCCCAACATTTTTGCTCCCCTTCATTCTCTAATATTCTTTTCATCCCCCTTCTCTTCTTCTTCTCAAGTGATGAAACCTATTGCAGCATACATTTTTTTTTCTCTGGTTTTCTAGGTTGCAGAAATCTACTTGGTATCAGAGCCAAGTTAGGAGTTCTTGGAGTGGCTTCCATCATAGTTTAGGATCAGCCAACTGCATGGAATAGAAGGAATGCTGATCGCCCACAGTTTTTTAGCCTGGTTCTGAAGTTTTGGAGTTTATTTTTGGTGCCCAAGGTGTTAGACCTGGAGAACTGCCCAAAATGAGAGAATCAGAGAGAGGAAGGTAGGTTTTTGGTAGAATTGAATTCTGAAATCTATTTTGAACTGGAGATAGACTTTTTTTGAAGTTGTTTGACCTTTCCTTGGGGGTCGATTACTGCCTGGGCACCTTCTGTTTCTTTTGGACTGATCGGAAGAACTGTATCCCTCTTCCCAGGACAGGGTTTCAGGACAGTTTTCTCTCTAGACCTTTTTCCCTTGGGTTTTTCTCAATCTGATCAGGTTAGAACATTTCTGTGTGTAGAGATAGTTAAATAGCTCCTAGTGTGTGTGTGTGGTTCCATCCCCACACTTAATTATTTTATTTTCTTTTTTCTAGTTGGGCCGGCTGGCCTTTGTTTATCCTCGTTTATGTTTATCTTTATTTGTTTGTGTTTTATTTTAAGTAGGGGTATTAGAGTAACTCCCACTCTTGTAAGGAGACTTATCTATTTAATATCTAAGATCCAATGGGGCGGCAGATTAATCAAACAGAACCCCTTCTTTCTTTCTTTCTTTCTTTCTTTCCTCTCCTCTTCTCTTTGAAGTCTAGCTCTTTTTCTCTCTTTCTTTCTCTTGAATTACATTAGAACACAGATCCATTTTATTCAAGTTGGTATTAGAGCACTTGGCGAGAAAGGACTAGGGTTCTCATGTGAGTYTGATCTGGTTGGCTACATGAGAATTCCTTAGATCAAGATCTGCTGCAGTAGCGCCTGGTTCTTGGAGATTGCTGGAGTGTTGGAGACTGCCCAAGAAAGTGAAAGACTCTTGGAGATTACCCGGTGACCAGGAAGAATCAGAGTTTTAGGCACAATCAAGATTAGGGTTTCAAACTAAGGTGGTGATCAGAATCTTTTCTGAAAAGGTACATTTTTTAGTTGAGTTGATTTTGGTTAGAAGCTGTCAAGATCTTTTCTAAGCAGCGGCTGATAAAACTGGATTTTCTCTGCAGTTTTTCCCTTTGGCATAAAGCCCTTCGATCTCTTTTTGAGGAATAAAGGACTGGTTTTGATAGTTATTGATCTGAAAATTTGATTTTTTGACTGAGATTACTTTCTTGGAAAGAAACTGTCGACTGAAACCAAGTTTTGGTGCCTATTCTTTGCTGAGATTAAATTCTGGATTGATTTTTGACTGAGATTACTTTCTTGGAAAGAAACTGTTGACTGAAACCAAGTTTTGGTGCCTATTCTTTGCTGAGATTAAATTCTGGGTTGATTTTTTGTCTGATTTTCTTAGAGTTTCAGCAGAAAAAATAAATAAATAACCTTTTTGGTCTTCTTCTTGGAGTTTTGTGACCTATTTGTGCCCTACATAGAATGGAGAAGGTTGGAAGTGAGTTAAAAACAAGGGGAAGGTTGGTCCGAAGATCCAACTTACCAATAGGATTCGAATTCAAATCCAGTCCTATCAGATCCAATCCGATCGGATCGGATCCAACATGAACAATGTTGGATCAAATTCGAATATACCCTGATTTGAATCCAATCCGATCCGTTTGCATCCGTACTCTAAGTCCTAAGTTGTTTTCTTGTTTTGCATAGAAACCAACAATATGTACACTAACAATTAACAATAATATTCATTAAATAACCAGTAACATTAGTGATAGCAACAAATATGTTATCTCTCAATTTATATAGTTTTTGTATATCTTGGTAGCTGCTACAGTTTTTTGCTTAGGTCACAAAGCCAGCACAGAAGTTTTGTACTTCTATTATTTTCTTTAATGCAATTTTTATCTTATTCTTATTATATGCCTCTAACAAGTGAGTTAGCAACAAATAATTTATTAGACGATAAATATCACATAATCAACTAGAGGAAGAAAAGATTGTAGTCATATAACCAGTAAAACTTACTATATGCCTCTAACAATGCAGTGCAGCAGGATGCTGGAACAGGAGAGGACGGTAGCTCTCGAAGAACATGCTGCAAACCAAAAATATTGGCAAACAAGCAATTAAGCAAAAAAACAGATGAACTGAAATAAAGAAACTAAATGAAAGTCAGTACATGAAAATGTCAGTCTAGAAATACTGCTCAGACATCAAATAAGAGAACACCTTGACACAGTCACCAACAACATGAGGATCCTCATCAGAACTGAATTCACTCTTCCCTAGTAACAAGCAAAATATAACCTCAGCTGACAAAGGCATTTCCATGAATAGATATTCATATCAGAACAAATAACCCTTCCAAAACACGTAAAGATAATGGGCAAAAGATTCCCATGTTAGAATCAATATCAATGTATAAGCATGAACTTCAACAATGTAAAAACCTTGCTCGTATTCTTGAACTCTGCGGTCAACCTCCTCTACATCTGCAGACTGTCGTAAAATTCCTTCTACTTTAGTTCCTGTTGAAAAAAGCATGAAATTATTAGCTCGTTTAGTGAACAATATAGTATCAAAAGGATTTTTAAACAAGAAATTTTAGGTAATACAGACACAGACAAAACAAAAGGTGTCATTGCTTAGTATTATGGTAAAACCTCAGGCTGACAAGCATGAGAATGTGGGTTGGAGTCTAAGAGTAGACACTTTGTGTAAGAAAGAAAAATGCCAAAGACTAGATCCCAAAATCCCTGGCTAGCCAGGGGTGAACATTGGGTAATGGCCTTTTTGGACACAGAACACGAAAGATTTTTTTTTTTTTTTTGAAGGATAAAAAGAAATTTCATTGAACTGAAAAAAGCAGTACAGAACATGAAAGCATGATGAACAACTTTTTTTTCCATCAGCAACAAGAAAATCATTCAGTTAGATTAAAAAATACATTTTAGGCCTGGGTTGGAGTCTAAAAAATACAAGAAAATCATGCCAAAGACTATGTTCCCTAAGCACCCCTTGCTAAGCCAATGAATGAAAATCAGCCATCACATTTGTAGTTCTCCTGGCCCATCTAAAAGTGCCCCCCACCTCCTTTGCAATACTCCCAATTCTCTTGAATTTTGCCTGCAAATCCAAGCGATTACCATTTATAAGTCCACCTCCACATATTGAAACCTGGGTTGCTTAGCTATACTCATTCCCTGTAGTAATGCCATCACTCCAGCTTTTAAAAAGTTCCCAACTCCAATTGGACCTGAATATAATGCATCCCTAAAAATGCCCCCAATGCCTAACCTGAAGGACCTAGATTGCCTAATGAGCTTCCATCAAAGTTCAACTTCACTCTATGATTTAGAGGAGACTTCCACTGTAGAGACTGATTTATGTCTCTTACGTCTTCTTTCCTTTTTTGGCTCTTGGGACCACTCTTTTATGTTGTAACTTATGTATACTATTCTTTTGTTTTATTCTTTCTTGTAAGAGAAGGACACAACTATCATTTCCATAACCTTGTACACTTTCATATATAAGATAATCATTTCTGGGCATGTGACTCAAGAGAACACACCCTTTTTTTTTTTGATAAATAAGAGAACACACCCTTTCATTTCCTAGTTCTTCTTCTCTGATTTTAACTGAATTGACATGGTATCAGAGCAAGTTTTTTCAACCTGTACTTGATTGAAATCTGTTTTGGCTTGTGAGATCGACCCATCTACTTCAACTTTGAATCTCTTAGGTTGTTTTATTGATCAGCACAACTGTGTTGTTCTTTCTCTGGAAGATCGCCTTCAGCAATAGGATTTCCTCTCTCTCTCTCCATTGGCTACTTCAATCGCTGTGAAACTTCAGATCTGAAGTTGCCCAGGTCAGATTTATATAGATCTACAACTTAGTTCTGCTTCAGATTACATTTGAAGGGTGTTTTGCCCTTCTTCTTGTTCAACAGTCCAGGAAACTTACATTTTTTGGACTGTAATCAGTTCGAACTTTGTGTGGCTGTTTTTTTATTGAGTTTTGCTTCCTCCTTGTGCCGTGTGATTGGACACACATCTTCCATCAAGTTTTGTTTTCTTTTGGACCTTCGGCTGCCCTACTTTCTTAAGTTATTTGTTTCTTAGTTGCTGAAATGGCCATGGAGAAAAGGGATATTCTATCAGTAAAGTTCAATGGGACAAACTATGCCTTCTAGAAATTCCATTTCCAGTTCTATGTTGAGGGAAATGGTCTATGGGGATTTGTGGATGGTTCCACAAAACAACCCGAAGAATCTGATTCCAAGGGGCTGAAATAGTGGAAGATCAAAATGCCAAAGTTGTGTCTTGGCTTCTTGGCTTCTTGGCTCCGTTGAAACTGAGATTACTATTCCAATGAGAAGTTATCGGACTGCTAGTGAGATGTTCGCCTACATGGAAAAGGTGTACCAACAGTCCAACATCTCTCGTCAATATCAGATTGAGACAGATTTTCTCTTACTGTCAGTGTGAGAAGAAAATACAGGAGTGCTATGCTGGCTTTGTGAATTTGTGGACAGAATATGAATTGGTTCACATGGATGAAACCACTTCTGCTTCTTGCATCAAAAATCTGAAAGAACATTTTGATAAGAGGAAGATCATGCATTTTCTGATGCATCTGAGACCTGAATATGAGATTGTAAGGTCCAATATTCTCAGTAAGGGCACTCCTCCCACACTTGACACAATTTTGGGGGAACTTCTCAGAAAAGAAACTAAGCTCATTACTCAATCGACCTTGAGGTCAAAATCTGATTCTAGAACAGAGACAGCCTTTCTGATAAACAAATCCAAGCCCAAGAAGGACTTGTCCCGAGTACAGTGTTTTGAATGCAAGGAAATATGGACATGTAATCTTATACTGCCAGAAGAAAAATTTGTGTACCTATTGCAAGCAACATGGGCATATTATTCATGAATGTCCTACCCGACCAGCAAAGGGGAATGGTTCAAGTTCTAAGAAAAGTCAACATAAGGCTTTCCAGACAACAATTGAAGGTGCAGATATTGGGAGTACAGCTTCAATAGGAATGGATGAAAATTCTGGAGCTCTTACAGAAGAAAGAATGCGGCAGCTAGTATCCTCGGCCATTTCCTCTGCATTTTCAGCCATCGGCCTTTCTGGTGAGTCATCCTATTATTGTTCCGGTCCTAGTCACTTATGGATCATTGATTCTAGGGCCTCTAACCATATGACAAGAGCACACACTGGTGAGTCCATTAAACCCAAATCTTCGAATAAACATATTATTACTACTAACGGAGAGAAATTGGATATTGTTGGATGCAATGATTTGTCTTTGTCTACATCTGTCAATGCTTTCTTTCATCTACCTAAAACTTTCTTTGTTCCTAAACTTACAACAAATTTGATCTTAGTCGGTCAGCTAGTTAAGGATGGTAACATTGTTTCCTTTTCCCATGATGGTTGTTTGATACAGGACCAGCGCACTGGGACAGTGAAAGGGAAGGGGCGTAGACTAGGTCAGCTATTTTCCTTGGAAAATGAAAAGACACTGGGGCTTTCTTCCACATCCTGTTTGCTTACTACTACCCCTAGTTCTGAAGTTCTTTGCAGAAATAATGTATGTCATTTATGGCATAGGCAACTTGGCCATCCCTATACTTCTTTTAATAATGTTGATAAAGCTTGCATTTCTTGATGCTTGACTAAAATCCACATTTTACCTTTTCCTTCTATTGTTGAACATGCTTTTGTTCCTTTTAAACTAGTACATAGTAATGTTTGGTCGTCTCCAGTTGTTTCCAAGTTGGGATATAAATATTTTGTTACATTTATCGATGATTGTACTCGCTTTACTTGGATATATTTTTTAAGATACAAATATAAAGTTTTTTCTAGCTATATATCTTTCTTAGCAAAGATCAATAACCAATTTGATGCAAACATTGAGATTCACCATTCAGACTCAAGGGGTGAATATCTTGATGGAGACTTTCAAAACTTTTTGAGAGACAACAAAATTCAATCCCAGAGATCTTGTCCTAGCACTCCACAACAAAATGAGTGGCAGAGTGCAAAAACATACATATCTTGAGCATAGTTCGGACCCTTCATGATTCCTATGCTCCTACTTCGTTTTGGGTGGAGGCGGCCAACACTATTGTGTATCTTATTAACATTCTTCCTTCATCTGTCCTACATAATACCTCTCCTTTCTAAAGCTTGTTTCACCGTCAACCTGATTTTTCTGCTCTTCCTGTCTTTGGTTGTGTTTGTTTTGTTCACCTTCCACCACATGAGCACACAAACTTACACTCCAATCAAYAATGTGTGCTTTTGTGGGGTATAACCCTAATCATAAGGGCTTCCTTTGCTATGATCCTCAGTCTCGGCGAGTTCGTGTATCCCACAATGTCATCTTTCTTGAAAACATTTCCTTTTTTGCCCACATTGTTAAGTTGCATGCTACTTCCATCGATGCTGTACTCTTTTGACTCTGCAGGTTCTTCTAATTCACCTCCTATTCCAAAATTGCTCCATGTCTATTCTATGAAGAGGCTAGCTGCTCTAGCTCATGTCGCTCTGCCCCCTTCATCACTAGAAGCTAATCCGTTATCTCTAGCCACGAGTTCTTCTTCTCTTGATCCTGTAAGTACACATGCACCTATCCATGATCCCCAACCATCCTTTGATCCCCCTTTACATCGTTCATCTCGAGTTTCTTGCCCTCTTGACTGCTACGGTTTTCCTTCAAACCATAGCTCCTTCTTTGTTGTTTTGTCTGTCACAGATATTCCCACATCACACCAGAATGCTACAGTTGTCCCGCATTGGAAACAAGCCATGGATACTAAGCACCAAGCTCTTATTGATAATGAAACTTGGGACATGGTTACTGCCCCTCCAGATGCCTCTCTAATTGGAAGAGAGTGGGTATATTCAGTGAAACTTAATTCTTACGAGAGCCTTGATAGATACAAGGCATGTTTGGTGGCAGGAGTATGGGATAGATTATGATGAGACAATTGCCCCCGTAGCTAAGATGACCACCGCTCGTCTGTTGTTGGCTATATTTGCAATTAAACACAGGAACATTCATCAAATGGATGTCAAAAATGCTTTCTTACTCGGGGACCTCAAGGAAACTGTTTATATGAATCCTCCACCGGGATACTATGATGGTTCTCACCTGGTGTGTCGACTTAAAAAAGTCCTTATATGGTCTTAAACAAGCCCCTAGGGCATGGTTTGAGAAATTTCGTTCGATGATCACAGATGCAGGATTCACCCAGAGCTCTTCAAATAATTCACTGTTCATATCGAGACGTCCCGAGGAATTACACTATTACTTCTGTACGTGGATAACATTCTTATTACCGGTGATGACAACCAGGGCATTTCCTCTCTGAAACAACTTCTCAATCAATCCTTCAAGATGAAGGACCTTGGTCATCTCACTTGTTTATTGGGGTTAGAAGTTACTCGCTCGTCCCGGGGATATTTTGTTAATCAACACAAGTACGCAATGGATCTTGTGAAATTT